GTTGTTAAACCATCGAACTCGGCTATTAATTAGGCTTTTTTCCATTACCAAGTCAAGCTGATAAAACAAGGATAGAGTTTAATCTGAACTCATTTCAACGTTCCATTATGTTCAGGATATGAATTATTGATTGGGCCATGCTTCTCTTACAATCCAAATCAATATTATAGCATTCTTTTTAAATTCGCAGGTTTTGTCTTTCAATAACTTATAAATTTCAATATATTCTACACAAGTTACTGTTATCGTTTCTTTCTTTTAAAATTGATATCTTGATATCACTACATTAGATGACATTGTGAATATTTTGATGGTTTGACTAAAGATATATAAAATGTTTAAATTTAAATTTTTACCAAGGACAGTGAAAATTTCGATATAACCTAATTTTAAAATGTAAAATATTTTAAAAATATCTCTGAAACGTTTTCTTAAAAGAAGCACGAGATTCCAATTTCTGTTGCTAATTTATGTATTCAACTTTGCAACAGAAAGATGTAAAACAAACAAATTTAGCAAACTAAAATTCGACAAAACATTTGTCTTTTTTACAAGGTGAAAATTTACGAGACAACGCATTCCAAAATATTCTTGGATGTTCTGATGTACCAATACTCTTGTATATCCTAATATACCACAATGATACAATCCTGAATGATGGTGTTTGTTTATATATATATATATATATATATATATATATATATATATATATATATATATATATATATATATATATATATATATATATATATACACACAAGCTGGTTGTATTTATAGTTTTAACCCATGTGGAGACAGCAATGTAGAGGTTTACAAATACAACGTTTTTGTGTTTATTTGTCTTATATATTTTTTGTATTTGCCTTTGAAAAAAGACTCATTAAGAGTCGAAAGCGCTCGGGCTAGTTAGTTACTAGTTTCGCACTGTTCGTCGTCAGTTTATTGCATATATATATATATATATATATATATATATATATATATATATATATATATATATATATATATATATATATATCCACTTGACCGAAAACGCAATAGGTTATTCTGGAAAACCACAATTTCCAGTGTAAAATTCAGCTAACTCTTTTACACAAATTCTAGTAAACATTTGGCTACTCCTTAAAACCATGACAAGCTTCTGATAAATAAAACTGGGATTCGCAATCTTCAATCACAATCATGACAAAAGTCATTTATTTAAAAACTCTGTGACGGATAAAATTCACATGATACAAATTAAATATGCATAATACAGAACACGTGACCATTGTGGTTTAGAGTCAAAGCATGAACTAAAAAGACTTACATTTAGGCATTCAGTCTGTATGGCCAAATGAATCTATGTCGGGACTGTCACTCTTAGGTAAGTACATTTGCATTTAAAAAAACAAACAACAAGTTTGAAAGGTTCTTGAAGGCCCCGACCGTTAGGGTTGAGGTTGCTGGCAAGTCACGTGGATTACCAACGGGTTTGTACATTAAGGTAGGCTGATATGGGGCACGTGGGTAGATGACATATTATTTCAATTCGACCTTTTAAATCTATTACTTGACAGACTAGCACAGCTGTCTTCAAAACCAGGAGACAGCATGACATTTGTGGCATATAATGTGATAAAACTGGTCCATTCAAATGAAGGCAGTAAATCAGATTAGTATTATGGTAACCTTGCATGCAGACATGTCTCACACATTTGTTTTAGAAAGTGGCTTTGGCAAAATAAAACATTAGTTTGCATAAGCTTGGAAAAATTACTTACATAATACCTACACTTTGGAATGCAGACAGTCCATGCTAGTATACAATGATTACCATGCAATACTTTTCTGCAACAAAAAGAACTAGGTGTTATATACAGAACTAGTTCTTGATAATGTTATTATGTTTTTATTATGTGTGCTAATATTTATGATTATAGACTGTATGGGTCGTTTAGTATCTCCCTCCCCAATCCTAAAACATCAATTGGATAATTTTCTCCATCGTGGACTTGTACTACAAGTTAATGTCATTTTGTTTAGTAAGCATGCTTTTGTGGCCTTTGACTTTGGAAGGCGTAGAAGTGATATTATTGACAAACTTGATGGGATTTGAGCTCAGATCATTGGTTTCCAACTAGGGCCTTCTGGCTCACCTGATTTCCGATTGATTAGATACTAAAGAACCTGGCCTTATTGACAAGTTTGAATGATCTGGAAATTAATATTTGACCCTCAGCCTGGTTCCGAAATCGTGTCCTATGTTTCCTAAATAAGGGTTGTTTACCTTAAAACTATTGAATCCTATCTTAAATCTGAAGAAAAATCAGTTTTAGTTCTGTTAAATTATTATTTGAGAGGATTTCTTGTTTAACTTATTCATTTTAATTACACGGTACTCATAAACTTTGGGACTATTCAACTATTTGGAATTACACTGAGTTCATTTAAAGGCGTTTTGGATTACATCATTGTGATAAATCAAGACCGTTAGCATTTCAAACTATTTCAGACTATTGGCACATCTGGAACTCCACCGGAACTCACTTGAAATAATCAAAAAATCATTTAGGACGATTTGGGATTTAATTCACAATACTTTTTTTAAATTTTAATTTTTGTATTCTAGGCAAAAATATTATTTGCTTCATTTTGCAAAACTTGTTCCTTTTCGCTTTTATATATTGCTTAAACTAATACTATACAATGGTAACAAGAAGTATGATATTTGTTGTTAGTTTGTGTTATGTACATGTAATTTAATTGTGTGTTAGTTTTAAATTCTCTTTTATTTTATTTTTATTTCATTACATGTTATTGTAATGATAATTGTATTCACTGGATTTGACATTTTCTGTTTTGACCTGATAAACAACGCTATTCGATTACTACATTTTATTTTTAGCTGACCTAGTTCTTGACCTTGATTCACAGATTGGTAAACACAGAGTGAAAACCATTGGTCGTAATAAAGGTCATATTTTGCTTACATGATCGCCCTATTTTGTAAACAACCCGTTTTGATAAAATCTTATAGTACGATTTGGTTCGTACAATAGAGCACGTATAGCCTACGTGCAAATGGTATATTTTATTTTACTGCGCTGTTCAAATTAAGCAACCACGTGAGTTATCGTGTGATCTAAAATCGCAGGCTACAACAGACTTTTCTAGTGGATGCCTTCGTAGCGAACGTCGCCTTCTTCAATAATCAATAATATAATTACAAATAAATATAAATTCTTCAAACAATTAAACTTTCCAATACATTATATTAAAGAATAGTAAAGAAATATTAAAATAATAAAATGTTGCAAATGTACCGATCTTAGATTGAATTTTTGCTTGTACATCTTAATATTAAAAATCATAATACTATATAAAAAAAATTTACGCAGACGGTAGGTTACCTATAATGAGACAAGCCCTCTTTTAGTCTGACGAAACGTATTAATTTTATCAAGCAAATCTTCCTACTTCTTATACGTAGTTTCTTAGTAAGCGGCCAAATATGGTCATATGTTTTAGTTCTTTGGTTTCGCCAGAATCTCCAAGTGAGGCTTCATTGTTTCTTACCGACTACCGTCTGGGTCTATACGTCATGAGACAGATTTTTCCATGAACACGTGAAATCATACTGATATACTTGGCAGAAAGGAATCCGCTTATCCAGCACTGCTGCTGCAGAGTTCTAAATTTGCCAACTTAAGTATTGTACAATCTGCAGGAATGTTTTGATTTCACATAGAAAGGGACAATTTTTAATGAAGTAATACACATTTCTATTACAAGAGTAAACACAACACTAATAAAATCATTAATTTTATAAATGCAAATTTTTAAGGCATTATGGTATGAAATATATTCAGTTATTTAAATATGTTCACCTAAAAATATTATTTTGTCGAGTATTAGCTGAGATGTACATTACATGATTTTTGAGTGAAAATAAATATATTTTTATTTAATGTATGCCTTAAGTAGTCCGAGTTTCTTCTGATCTTTGCCATGCTATCTGAGATACCGGATAAGTCTGTCATTATTTCGAAAAGCATTCACGTATTTAGATGTCTCCTAAATAATTTATTTTTGAAAAGGTTCTTTTTATTTGTCTTTTTCTTAATATAAGCTAAAACTATGTAGCAAAATTTTTAAAAAAAATGTAAAACATTCCGATGGTGTTGACAATGCAACAAAGGAATCTCGCAGAGGGGGAGGGGGAGTAGAATCGGCCCATATTAACCCATGTCCTTTTATCTTGGAAAAATACAAACTATTATTGTAGAATCAACAAACAAACACCAAATCTATTAAGATTTTGATCCATCTAATGCTATAAATTTTTGTCGCAAAAGGCACAAACTATTCGTGTAAACAAATGAAGACCTCTAAAGATGTTTTTAAAGTATATGTTTCACCAAGTTTTACTTTAAAACAGGGGTATCCAACACGCGGCCCGGGGGCCTTATGCGGCCCAACAAGCCGTTTCCGCAAAATGACTGGCGTCACAATGTGTCATGAGAGATGAGGTTAGTCCCTTGGGACTTCGAAAATGCCTTCATGCTGCCTTCATGGTTGTTTGAGTTTGAGACCCATACTTTAAAACATCGAAATGCTTACCATGAATTTCTCTAGAATATGCACATTTCAGTTTGTCCCAACCAGGAATACTGTCGTGACGTCACAGGGTATGATCCTTTGGGAGGGAGAGTCTCTAGTATGGTTGGCAGAAAGACCATAGGTTGACTCCACATTCAATTGAATACGCTTGTTTACCAGAAGTGATGTGATTATGATTTTTAACGTAGCTTTAACAATTTTTCAGTCATGTCGCTACGATGTCTGCAGTGTGGCAGTTTATAGTGATGTCTAGCACTGAGGCATCATGCCGCAGACATGCAGCATGATGCCCCACCCAGTCACATTATCCAGACACCAGGCCGACCAGTCATAACCTCTTAATGCTGAGCGCCAAGCGAGGCAGCTGTTAGTACCATTTTTGGTAAGTCTTTGGTATGACTCTACCGTGGATCGATTGAACCCACGACCTCTCGCATCCGAGGCGGACGCTCTAACCACTAGGCCACCCGAGCGGTTTGGTTACCAGAAGATATATATATATATATATATATATATATATATATATATATATATATATATATATATATATATATATATATATATATATATATATATATATGTGTGTGTGTGTGTGTGTGTGTGTAAAATTAGAATAACAGTCCTTTCAAGTGCACTTGATCCAGCAAGGAATCACGTGTCTCAGGGATTTCAAAGACAAATACCCCAAAAATATTTTTAAGCATCTGCAACAAGTTGAAACATAATAAATTTAAATGTTTAATTCATGTAGAAACAGCCATGTAAAGTTTTGAAAATACAACTGTTTTTTGTGTTTTATTTATTTGTCTTGTCTATGTTTTGTATTTGCCTTTGGAAAAGACTCATTAAGAGTCTAAAGCGCTCAGGCTAGTTAGATACTAGTTTTGCAGTGTTCGTTGTCAGTTAATTGTAAAGAATGCAAATCATATGGCGAATAACATATATATATATATATATATATCTATATATATATATATATATATATATATATATATATATATATATATATATATATATATATATATATAAGGAAAGTGATAGTCTTAATGACCTAAATTATATACCCAACACCAGTATCGGGTATACAATTTATACAATTAGCACTGCCTGTTCAATGGCTTCTTTCTTCATCGCCATAGGGGTTCTGCTAACCAGAGCTCTGCCAACGCCTAGTTGTGACGTCATAGGGCTAATCTCCGATGTTCCCTACATGTTGTATATTAAATACATTCATAATTTCACGAAAATTTTCGACTTTTAAAAATATACTTTTATCAAACTAAAAACAAAACCCCGAAGATTTATGAAAACTTTTAGATCATTGCTCATTTAAGTTTTACTTGAAAACCCACTAGGTCTATGTGTGGGGAATACACTGTTATATTTTTAGAAATTACGTAAACACTTTTTTTAGTTCATTATTCATTTCGAATGCCAGCTAGTATTAGCTAACGGAAGAAAAATGACAACACTTTCAGTTTTACACGGTGTTTACTTGGGCGAGACAATAGTTCTAGTCTGCCTCCACCTCTTCTCAGATCTTGTTAATACCGTAAGTTTACAAAATTGTCCACCCGGCTTTTTCTACGACGACGTGCTACAAAAGTGTGAAAACTGTTATTCGGTTTGTGTAGATGCCGTTTTGCAACGAACAGAGGGAAAGTGTGCTCAATGTAAAAAAGGTATTAATTAGTTACTTTCTTTTTTTTAAATGTACGATTGTAGCCTAAAGGCCTGCATTGCTTACTATTTACATATATGATCATTTAGAAGTTTTATGTATACAGTAACGCAAGAGAGAACACTCCTCCCATTTGTCCTGCGACCTATTTAAGAATCTACTCTTATATCTCGTTATATAATCTAATCCTCGATAAGTCGAAGATTAACCTTTCTAGGCCTACCTAAAAGAAAGCAATGCCAGCTCGTATTCCGACGCGACCGCTGGACATGACCGCGATTGCATACACCTAATATGCAAATACGAAGGGCTGATATAAATGTTGCTCACTCATTGGCCAAACAAAGATGGTTTACTCCACCTATTGGCACGTAATTTGGAAGTACGAGTTATACCTTTTGGAAATTAGTTATATACAAATATGAAAAGAAAGGGCACACACACACACACACACACACACACACACACACACACACACACACACACACACACACACACACATATATATATATATATATATATATATATATATATATATAAATATATAAATATATAAATATATATATATATATATATATATATTCTTTAGCTATGTCACAGAATAATATTTTAACTTGAATTATTCCCCTGGTGAACCCTATACAATCATATACATATAAATCATAAATCTCTGGATATTTTCCAGGACATTTCTGCCATATTAACAAATTATTTTAATGATGTTTGCTTTTAAAACAAAATGGTTATATTTATATAAATATAAAATATCACCATAAGTTACCCTCAAAAAGATTTTTAAAATTATGTAAAACTTTATGAAACAGTCCTAAAAATATTTAAGATTTTATGATATCATAACATAAAAATTGTGTTCTAGCTAGCTGGTATTCTGTTGACATACAAACATCATACATGACTGTACAAATACATCATACATGACTGTACAAATATATCATACAAGACTGAACAAATATATAATAAATGAATGTACAAATATGTATGAATTTACAAATAAACTATCAGAGACAGCCTGAGCCCAATCAGGTCCCCTTTTCACAGAGGCCATGCATGCTAGTAATTTTAAAATATATCTATAGAGAAAAAGTAATTTTAAAGCAATGGAAGAAAACTTTAATTTCATTATCATATAACTTGTTTAAAAGTTTATTTCCAAATGCCATGACACCAGCAGGCCCCACCAAAATGACCCACATCTGGCCCCCACATTTGATATGGCTAATGCTGTATATCATACATGACTGTACATATAAATCATACATGACCATGCAAATATCATACACCTATATGCATGAAAAGACTATCTTTAAATTACTAAAGGGAATTGAGGAGTATGCCTTGACATATTTGTGAAGTATGTGAAGATAGTAACCCTTAATAATTAGATGATTAAAAGTCTGATAAATGCATGAAGTCTGCAGTATAAATGCATTTAGTATGGAATATCACTGCATTTAGTATGGAATATCACTGAATTTAGTATGAAATATCACTGCATTTAGTCTCGAATATAACTGCATGAAGTCTGGAATATAACTGCATGAAGTTTGGAACATATCTGCATGAAGGATGCTTTTGAAATAAAATAGGTTTATGTAATAAACAAATTTTTAATTGTTTGTTGTTGCTTTTGTATCACAGTACTGCCATATGGAGTCATCATTTTTTCATATAGAGAACATGTAGAAATGATGACAATTTTAATTGCTGTAATTGTATGACTAATTGCTGGTAATTTCAATTTTAATTGCTGTAATTGTATGACTAATTGCTGGTAATTTCAATTTTAATTGCTGTAATTGTATGACTAATTGCTGGTAATTTCAATTTTAATTGCTGTAATTGTATGACTAATTGCTGGTAATTTCAATTTTAATTGCTGTAATTGTATGACTAATTGCTAGTAATTTCAATTTTAATTGCTGTAATTGTATGACTAATTGCTGGTAATTTACAGCATGATATTGTATCAAATTCTCTGGCTATGGTCTAAATAGATAATGAAGGTGGGTGGTGGGGGACAGCCAAGAGGAACAAAATGATGAGTAATTCTACGTGTCAATTCATGAAAAGCACAAATCAGCAAATTAATAATGCAGTTTGGCTATATGACTTGAAAGGACTTAAACTACAATACGCTACCCAATAAATATGTCAAGGTTGCCCCCACTGTGAGATTTTGGTTGTGGGGGAATTGTGTGGGGTGCTTCCAATATTTATTGAAACTATTGTTGCAGTCCCACCCAGGTTCGATTTAGGTTTGGAAGTTGATTTAGTGAAAGTTACTGATGTACAGCTCCAATCCCCAGTTAGCAATGCCGATGGTTAAATGATTAAAGATACAAAGAAGGGTGAAGTTAAATAATAACAATTTAATAACAATTAAATGGTCAATAATTAGAATTTCTCAAATACACTTCTTCTGCTGGAACCATTTTGAAGCCTATCACATCACTTGATTTGTAGTGTGAGAGCTTTCCACCTGTCCTTGTGTTCTACTCATCTGTGTATTTCTCTCTATCTCCTAATTCCCTCTCATCCTCCCTGACTCCCCCCCAAGTTCCTTTTCCTCTTCCTCTATTTCCTCCTCAAGACCACTTTCCTCCTCCTGCTCTTCTATCCTCTCCTCCCCTTCTATCACTGTTTTATATGTTAACTGCATGTTGTCAACTCCGTACTGTCAGTCTCACTTCTATCTCCCTCTGACAGACAAGGTTGGTACAATACTTTCCTCAGCACTCACATCTCACACTACATGTAGCCTAAAATCAGATAACAGCTATCAAATTTCACTGGTCACGAATTCATTCACACCAAAATATGCACTCTAACATAACACATTACTAAAGGTACTGGTTACTACAAAGTAACCTACCACCGAATTACAATATTAACTCTAACGAGCCAGCAATCTACATAAACTCAAATCCATGTCTCAAATACGCTTATAAATGAAATACTACAAGATAATTCTACATACTAAAACTGTCCCAGTAATTTAGTATACATACTACAAATAATTACAATTATGATGCCATAATGTTGTGCAAAAACTGAGCAAATAACTTACTGAGCTTTTCCTTTTTTACAATTCTGGTCCTAAGATTCCCGCCAAATTATGAGTAGCTTTTCCCGGAGTAATTCTATTTGCACAGTGATCTGTCTAGGCATCGACTGAAAATTGTACTGTAGGTTTTAGCTCTATATCTGATCTAAGGTATAATCCCACTCTCTATCTTAATTCCGATTGGATGTCACTGTGGACTGTCCCTATCAAACTTGGCAATAATGTCTTCGTAATTGTCTGTCTGGAGGGTGAGAACACGCCACTTTCACTCTGTGAGCTTCCTTTTGATCTCTGAGCCAATGTTTAACACCTGGGTTTGAGGACTACAAGCCTTTTACTGGTGGCTATTCTATTGTCTGGAATTATTTACACATCAAATGTGGTAATAATATCAAAGTTTATATACTTCCTGACAACCTGGACTGAGCAATCCTAACAAAATATTTAAGGTAAAATAAATTTGAAGCAAGTCCTATACCAAACTCAAATGAAAATTATATGTGAACTAAAGAAAGATTGTCCTTTAACATTAAATTACTTGAACATGCATTTCTTCAATCCATGCAGATTTACAAAAACAAGTGACAGTCTGAAAAATATGAACACAGCATTGCAAGATTGTACATGGAAATCATGAGCTAGCATAGTCAATGAAATGATAAGTAACAAGGTCTACCACAATTCATAGTGAAGTGCTGGGAATGCT